AGGTGTGATTCCTTCTTTCTCCCCACACTCACTCCCCTGGTGACCAGAGGTACTATCAGCTCACACCCTCATCTACCCCCAGTGTAGACTCTGCACTCAGGGAGTTCAGAATTCTGTGGTTATGAGCCATGCTAATTTGAGGTAGGGACTGGATGCACTGCTTTGGTGGCTGGATTCTGGCAGCCTCACATCCATACCAACAGAACTTGAAGACCCAACAGACCAGAATTAGTCTAGAAGAAACTCTCATAACCAGCCATCCTGTCCCCAGTTGCCCTGTAGTCCTAACAGACACTGACACCAGTTGCATCAAGGGCCTTGATGAGCTGCTTCTGCATTGAGTGCCCTGAACATAGATAACCCACACACTCCCATCTCTTGAGCTCCTTGGCTGACAGGAACCCCTCAGAGTTTTCTCCTTTCCAGGTCCAACAGCTGCACTTTTTTTTAATTGTTTGTTTAATTGTTTAATTGTTTTGTTTTGCTTTCCTTTCATTGTTTTGTTGTTTATTTATTCTTTCTTCTCCTCTGCTTTTCATTCCCTTGAATTTTATCCTTCCCATCTCCACTTGTGTTTCCCTTCTTTTCTTGATTGTCACTTCACCTCAATGTTTCCCTTTTGCTCTTTCTTTATTACCCTTTTCTCTTTTCATCTTCCCTTCACATGCTTTCCCTGTTTTAGCTTTTACTTCTTCATTTAATTTTCTCTCTTATGTTTCTCTCCTACAGCTCCCTTTTCTTGTCCCTCTTTTCTTTGTAGTTATTATATTATTTTTTTCTGGTCGCTGCCTGTTTTTATTTATTTTTTCTCCATTATCACTTTCTCTTTTAATTTTTTATTGCTTGTTAGTTTATTCTGTTTTGTTTTCTTGTTTGTGTGTTGGGGGATAAGGGGAGGGGGTTCTCCTCTCTCCTACCAGACAGGAGACAGCAACCATGCCTACCTAGTCCAGCCACAACTGTGTCATCTGCAGCTCCACCCACAAGGTGCCACCTGATTAATGATAGACAGCAGCCAACACAAGCCAAGCCTACTCTAATCTGAGGTGCATGAACGGCAAATGGAGAATGGTGTACACACCTCCATTCTCTAACTACACCCTCAGGAGACAGTTGGTGAAAGCTTAAGAACACATCAACATGCAATCATCACTAACTACAAATACCACAACATCACAATGTCCCTGAGAGAACAAACAATTTAAACTCACACAAAGAAACAACAGAGAATAACTGAAACAAATAGCCAAGATGGAGAGCCAGAAAATGTTTCTGAAGGAAAAAAGGTCATGAAACTAACTGAAAAAGAATTCAAAAGAATGGTATTTTGATACCTTGAAAGAATTGACAGAAAAATCAAGGAAATCAAGAACACAGAAAAACTTTAGAAGAATTCAGGAAAACATTACAAGAACAGATGAAATAAATGTAAATATTCAAACATTACAAAACTTGGTATTAGAAATCCAGAAAATTAATACTAAGGTTTCAGAAATAAACAATGCATTGAAAGGGCAAGAGAGTAGATGTGAAGTCCAAATTAGTAAGCTTGAAGATACACCTGTCCATACTAGTATGATCAAATAACTATCAGTCAAAAACAATGAAAAATCTGCAAAAACTCTAAGAGTTACGTGGGACACCATGAAAAGGAACAATTAAGGGTGACTGGAAATCCAGAATAGGAAGAAACAATGAAAAGCACAGAGAAAACTTCCCTAACATCATGAAAGACGAGAAGACGAGCATACGCGAAGCTGAATGAACCCCAACCAAGATAGATCTCAAAAGAAAATCACAACAACATGTCATAATCAAACTTTCCAAAACCAGAGTTGGGGAAAGAACCCTGAGGGCATCATGGAAAAATGAAAAGTTGTCTACAAAGAAGAGCCAGTAAGATTCAGCTTGGATCTCTCAGCAGAACCCATGCAGGCAAGAAGGCAATGAGACGACATATACAAAACTCTGAAAAACGCGAATTGCTGACCAAAGCTGTCCCTAAAATATGATGGCAAAATTAGGACATTTACAGATAAACAGAAATTAAGGAATTTGTAGTAACCAGACCAACTTTACAAAAAAAAGAAAAAAATACTAAAAGATGTTCTTTGGTCTGAGAACTAACAAGAGCAGACAACACCCTGGTATTAACATATATGATAACACCACCAAGCTCTCAATCCAGACATAGAAATAGTTATAATAAAACAAACCTACTAGACTGAAAATAGAGAACCTGAGATATTAACTTATAATGATGTCAACTACAAAGCCAAAAGATGGAATAATGTAAATACAGAACTTACAAATGGTGAGGAAATCATGTAGATTTCCATATAAAACAGGCTGTTTTAAATGGGAGGAAATTAATAAGTTACAGGGTAACCTTAAAGAAAATCATTACAACTTCACAACAAGATAAAAAGAGAAAAATCAGAAAGATTTAGTAAACATTAACACAACTGAAATGAAAATTTAAATAAATCCCACAAACAAAATTAACTCAGTGTAGAAAACTGTGTGGTAAAAATAAACCAGCAGTACCACACACACACAAAAGCACACAGCAAAAAGACAGCAATCAATTCATACCTATCAATAATTGTGCTGACTATAAACAGATTAAACAAACCAGTTAAGAAACAGAGAGTATCTGAATGGATAAGAAAATAGGATCCTTCAATATGCTGTCTATAAGAAATATATCAAAAAGATGGAGACAACCTAAATGTCCATCAATAGAAGAATGGTGAAATAAACTTTGGTACATATACACAATGGAATACTAAGAAACTTTGAAGAATCATGATGAATGTGTGAAACACCTCACAACATGGTTGAACCTGGAGGACAGTATGCTGAGTGAAATTAATCAATCACAAAAGGACAAATATTGTATAAGACAAGGCAGTTCTACCCTGTCACATGGGGTCATTGATGACAGACGAGGAGTAGGTAGGAGAGTTTTACTCATATGAGGTCACTGATGACCATTAACTACAGTACGAAGCACATAAATAAGCTCTTAACTGTGCTTTGAGATCTAAAGAATATTCAGCCCATTTTTCCAGAGTAATTCTGAAATTTATCAAAAACAAAACTTTTTATGAGACAAACTGGAAATTCACATCTCAAGACTAGTGTGCATTTACTGTTTCTAAATTAACTTTGGAGGAAATGAGCTCTCCCAAAATATAGTAAGTAATACTTCCCATGCCGTGTCCACTTCAGGTTCATGAGTCAAAAGAAACTCAGAGAAACAGAAAAGTCAAGATCTGTCCAACGGCAGCCCTGATGATACGGTGAGTGAAGTGTGGGGCTGCTAACGAACAGGTCACTAGTTCAAACTCACCAGCCAGTGGCTGTGCAGGAGAAAGACGAGGCTGTCCGCTCCCACAAGGATTTAGTCTCGGATGCCTTTTGGAATCCAAGTTCGAATCAACTTGATGGCAGTAGTTTTGGTAGACTATGTTAGAATGAAAGGTTGTCAACCGTGTGAATAAGATCATTATTTTTATCCTTTAAAATCAAGCAGTCTTAAAGTTTAATTTTATATGAATAATTATGCTTTATATAAAGTGTTCAATATTTGCCATCTGTAGTAAGAAAGCAGTGCCTGTATGCTAGGAAACCTATACTAAGTTGTCATAAAGTCTCACCAGCTAAATAGATACTTAGCATTTTAATAGTCCAACTTCCCTAAGAGGAGGACTAAGGCATGCTGGGAAATATCTATCTGATACTCAGATACCTACTGAGAGGAGAAGGGAAGTTCACTCAAAAATTTCATTGGAACAGGTGGGTTTGATTTCATTATGTTCTACACTAAATTTGCTGATTATTTGGTGGCAGTTATTGGCAATGCATTAGGAAATTAAAACATTATCCCCCACCTATCAAATAAGCCATTTCTACACATGGCATCTTTATATAATACCTGCCATCTAATCATCTGTAATCATCATTACGTTAAGGAGGAAAGACGATCATCTCAGTGTAAAATGTTTATAAATGTAAGCCTGCATGATGCTCATTCTGTTTTATCAGTAATGCACAATTACAAGGACAGAAGGCAAGTTTCAGTCAAGAATCATTAAGTTCTGTAAAAACAAAAAACAAAAACAAAACAAGTAGCAAAGTTGTTCTTCCTGACTCATTGTTAAACAAGATTCATAGCAAATTAGAATAAAAAAGAGGAGAACAGATACATCTTTCAAACCTACAGCCCATTATCCACAGGAACATCTCCCTGTTACTAAATTTTAGAGACACACATTGAGACAAGCTTGGTGGGTAGGAAATTACAGGAAGATAATGAAATTCTGAAGTCATAAAATATTTCGTAATGGAAGGTGTTGCAAGATCATTTTGGCTCGGGCAGCATTTGCTTTCATAATATGATTGTATGTTAAGGTGGTTTTAAGAATCAATTTAAAATTTCGTATGATGACTCTTCTTCGGTTGTTAGATAGGCATATTATGCAATCTTTCATCTGAGATTGTTTCTTCAGAGTCTTTGGGAAGATTCTTTCAGGTCACTGCAATCCAAACATAGAACAAAACCCATCTTCCAAACAGAAAATGGTTGTAGCCCCACCAGACCATCATCCCCAGTAAGGAGGCAGAAGTCTGCAGAAATCTCACCTGGACCTGTGAACTTCACTACACCAGCCATGCTTACTGAGATGACTAAACCAACTAACACACCTATTAAGAGCGACCAGCAGAAGACATGCAACAATTCAGAGATGACTGACAACATTGTCAAAACTCCTCAGCCATCTCATCGTCTTAAAAGCCTAGTGTGTTTCTAGAAGAAGAGTGGATGAGCTGCTCAAGACTCAATTTCCTCATAAAAATAATCATGCTCACAAAAAGAAACTACATTCTACTGAAAAAACTGTTTAATTGAAATGGAAAACATCATTTTCCAACCTAAAACCGATTTACGAATACGAGAAGGAAAAGCACATTGTCACCATGACACAGCCACCTACCTGGGACGGGCTGAGGGGCGAACACCACAGTGGGAAAAGGTCTGGAAACAGAAGCTGGCCTGGACAGAGATATTGGAACTTGATCTGCCAGCAAATGGGGCTTCTCGTGCCCATGGAACAATCTGGATTCCTCAGGATATACCCACGTTGAGTCCAGAGCAAAAGAATTATTGAAAATGATCTGTCCAAAAATAAAGCAAGCATTACATTTTAGGAAAGACACAGGATGAATGTGAGCCACTAAACACAAATATCCATCTTGTCTTACATTGACCATAAATATCGCATGCCTTATAATTGGGGACTACATAGGACATCTAAGGAACTCTGGTAGCACAGTGGTTACAAATCAGGCTGCAAACATTAAGGTCAGCGGTTTGAAACTACCAGCTGATCCACGGGAAAAGATGAGGCTTTCTGCTCCTATAAAGACTTACAGCCTCAGAAACCCTGTACAGGATCACTATGAATCAGAACCGACTCCACGGCACAGCACCACCACCACCACATAGGACATCTATTCTAAACCTGAAAGATTCATGGGGACCCATGCCTAATCATCTCCTCACTGAAGCCTCCTGAACTGTCTTCAACTGTTGACTTCATGGCGCTGGGTAGTCAGTGTTCAGAATGGAGAATCAGAGTCGTGAGATAATTAGCATGTCAGAGACAACCTCGACCTAGTGCTTCCATCAGTTTTCAAGTGAGCAAAGGATAGCCAGTAAATTTGAATTCAAAAGCCCAGAATAAACAGTTCGAAAGATGAAAACCCATGCCATCCTTAGCAAAACAACAACTCACTGGAAATGGGAAATTTTCATTACATAATGTGTAAGCCTCCAGATTCATAGCTACAGATTTCAAAACTGAGCAATAAAAATAAGATGAAGAAGATTCTGATTCAGAATTGGAAAACGTTTACACTGTTCTGTGCAATCCACATACTTTGAGCTAAAACAAAATGCCACATCTGCTGATTGGTGTTTTTGAACAGATCACTCTCATTCTGGAAAGCTTTCATTCTACACCTAGAGGCTCAATCTATTGCAATTAGAAAACACAGGATGTTCCCTGTTGTCATGGAAATATGCAACAAATGAATAATTAAAACCCCATTAATTCAATGAAATCGCTTGTGCTTTTACCTTACAGTTAGGTAGCCTTTTGTCTATCCAACTTTTTCCAACAGGAGGTGGCAGAGCAGATGGGAAGACATGGGGGAAAATAGGCACCAGCTCCACGGTGGAAGAGGGAGACAATCCCATCACAGGAGCATGGGCACCAAGCAGCCACTGTGACCCAAAAAGACAGAAGTCAGCTTCGTCTGAAATGGTCAATGCTACTGACCCTAGAATTACTGCTTTCTAAGGGAATGATACGTAATGTGCAGATCTGATTATGAAAATAGACCCCTTTCCCCCCAATCAATACAACTCTAAATATTCACAGATCAAAGGAAATGTATAAAAGTTATCATTTCTAAATTGTTATAAAGTACTCGTCAGTGCTGAGAAGCAACTTCTAAGTACAAAACCATGAGAAAGTGGTAACAAATAAATGCCTTTCTGCCCCAAGAGAAGGAGCAGCCACAGTGGGAAGGAAATGCTGACCATTTCTCATTTAATTCTTGAATTCTTCCCATAAGCAAGCATAAAGCTAGATTCTATATTATCATCTTAAGTATACCATGTATTAATCTCATCTATCACTTTAAAAACCAGAACTTAACTAATATTTTCAAAATGGAAATAGCTAAAGAGTCCAGGTGCAAAGTTGCCCAAAGATCAGCAATGCAAATTGGCAGAGAAAGAAGCAAACAAACCCATCATAGCCCTGAATCAAACACCAAACACGGAAAAGGAGTTGACAATTTAAGATGCAGTCTTCCTTGTTAAAACAAATGAATCCTCATCAGCGGAAAACAAGTAAGATGCATGGCTCAGTGATATGGAACCCTTCAACGACTATTTGTTTTAAAATCATAAATGCCTTTTTTGATTATCCTTTTATATAAAAATATTCTTCTAGTTCTAAAGATTATTGTTCTAGCCCAAATGGGTAACGTGAAATAATTTAAATTGAAATACAAAGTTTTTTATTTTTATTTTTTAATTTTTGCACAAGGTGGGTAAAATGCAGTGTTCCATATAAGAGGAGGGAAAAAAACCAAAAAAAAAAAAAAAAACCAAAAACGCAGCTCCTTGAGTTTATATACCTCTAGTGGTCGATCCGTGATATGACAACCTTCCCAAACATGGCAAAGACTACAGAGAGGTTTATTCAATAAAACCCAATATGAACCGCACCACACACCAAAATTCCATACCCAGTACTACCTCTGTGGTGTGTTATTAAGTCTAAAGACCAATTTAGAAATTTAATAACATTTTTTTTAGAAAAGCTCACACGATAATAGAGCAGGGGTTCTTAGATCCTGTAGGCTAATGGCCCACTCATTTGAATATGCTAATATTTAATACTGGCAATGCTTGGAATAAAACACATGCTATCCTCCTCTCTCCCACCCCTGATTTAAATGTCCCTGCACAGTTAGATGGTAACCCAGGGGTCTGGCCAACACAAGCAGCTTGCCCCATTGCATTACTAATAGAAGACACAATCACTTTTTTTTAATACATATTGTTTTAATTTCAAGGCTTTCAACGCCAAACTCTTGTAAAGTGTGATATGGCGTTTGCTCCAAAAGAACCAGGGCAGGAGCGTGAAACACCGGTAACACTGCTCTGAATTAGAGGCAGGATTCCCTCCTGGAGTCAATTGGTTTGGATTTTCCTAGGCATTGTGCTGAGTCTCTTTTCAAATGGCAAACGAAAAGCCAGATCGGAATAGCTATTGATGTCCAGCTTGCGTTTCAAGGCAGGCAGACTGTGAAAGTATTAACTTCTACTCGGAGAGGCAGCCCGGGCGCGGCGGCTACACTCTGCTCCGCGAATTCAGCACCGCGGTCTGGACAGCGACCGGGCCCCAGTGAAAGTTGGAGCCATACTGGGCCCACCCTGGCCCGGGTCCGCAGGTCTCATAGCCACTGTGTTGACAGCCCCTGACCAAGGCAACCCCAACTGCCCAGGAGCAAATCGGGACTTCGGAACCTGAACTTTCCTGTCAACGCATAGCGGCTAAGCTGAGGCCAGCTTCTAGCCTAGAGGAACCGGCCAGCTTCTAGCCTAGACGACCACCCCGGACGAGGGATCGCGATCCCTGGGCCAGCTCAGCCGGGCTGGGCGAGGGGCAGGGACGGCCGGCGGCCCCGATCCGCGGCGGGGCGGGGACACGTTACCTGCCCAGGGAGCCAGGGCGGGTGGAGCGCAGTGGCCAGGTCTGGCGCAGCGGGCAGCGGCAGCAGCGGCAAAGGCGGCTCCCCGGGCGCCGGCCAGGCTGCCAGTGGCTGGAGCAGCGTGGCGGCGGGGGGCTGCGCGGCGGCCAGCAGTACGGGCGGGGGC